GGTGAGTAACTATTTCAGTCCTCTGACCGTTATTCTACCAACACTCAAACCATGCGTAATTCTTCTCTGTTTACTTTTCCTCATTTTCATCAATACAAAATAGGAAAAAAAAAAGGATATATAAAACTAAATAAACAGAAAATTAACTACAAAAAATATGAAAGTATCCTCAATAACTTAAATGTGGAAAAAGATAAAGAATTAATCCCACTCACCCTCTCTGCAGGATATTACATAGTTCAGACAGTGTTTCAAGATGGTCGATGTGTATGATGAGAGGCCGCAGGACGTCGTATAATCCCGTACACAGTCCCAGCAGGAAAGCATCCAGGTCTGAGGTGGCTGCTGTGAAGAACTGAAAAATTCCTTATGGTTATACTGTAGCAGATTCATAGGAAGAGTCACAGTAATTATAATCTAATGCATGGAAAACTATTTTCCTTATCTAGGCAATAAGCCATATTGATAATGATAATAATAATGATGATAGTGATAACAAACATAAAAAGTTAATGATAACTAGGTTCATATTTCTATTATTACCACTATCATTAATATCAACAAAAATAAAATATCTATATACTATTAACCCATTTGATCCTGGTGCCACACGTCCTAAAAATAGACCACAATTACGGCACTATGCTTACTTGAGTGGCAACTCTCCTGGATGCATGGCTTGTAGGCTTGGCCCACACAAACACTATAGACAATAAGACCTCTTGCCTCCCCTTTCTATATCAGCATTTTTTTTTTTTGCTTTTTTGCAAATTATGCAATGCCTATGTACCTACAATTATGGGGGATAATTTTCTGTCTAGCCTTTCCGGCAGGGTGTTTGCTGTGTAAAGCCAGACTATCTGCTAACTTGCTAGAGCAAGTCATGATGTGTATACACATTTCCCCTCACAATGGTAGGATATCCATAACAGCCATAGGAATTCCCAACAGTAAGAGGATATTTGTCATCTGTTATACTGTATCAAGATTATAATACACTGTTTTGGTTGAGTGGACCCAGTATCATTTCTCTAGGTAGTCTAAAATTAACAATAACAATAGGTAGCATTTTGTTATTTGTGTCATTTTAAAATATTTTTGCATCACTCTGTCTCCTATAAAACACCCTGTGCTACCCATCATGATAGAATAGAGCATGCTCTTCCAGCCACAGCCAATGGATGGTACATTCCACCCATTTATTGGGGGAAATAATCCAAAAGCCTGTTCTTAAATGCCCACAAAGGCTAATACTCCTTCAAGAGCTTTCTCCAATCAATACAAGTCATTCCTGCCACTCTGGCCCTCAGTCAAATTTTTCTTGACAGTATATTCCTGTCATCCAAAAACCAAATTTTCTATGATGTGATGGTCATATTCCCCGGATCCAAGGATTAAGAGCTGTTGTATCAATATCAGTAACACAATAAGAGTTAAACTTCCAATAACATTAAAAACTTGATAATGATAATAATGATGATAATGATAATAATCAATGATATTACTAGTATTACTAATAATAACATCAAATAGAATCAATAATGATAATGATGGATGATGATGATGACAATGATAACGATGATGATGATGATGATGTTGACAATGATGATAATGATGATGATAAGGATGATGATGACGATGATGATAGGGCGATGGAGAAGTCTACGATGATGGAGTGCACAAACCTCTTGGAGATTGGTTAGACTCATTTGGCATTAAGAAAGGGGGTTTTGCATTATTCCCATCAATTAACGAGTGTGGAATATAATGTCCATTAGCCATGACTGGAAGAGCATCGGCTCCAGGCTCTGCATCGTACTCCTGGCTGCTGTGACCAGCGGTGCATGTTGTATTCCAGAAAATTGATTATTATGAAAAAATAAAATATATGACACAAGTAGCAAAATGTCACATTTTCTTTTCTTGCATTGAGTTATTTACTACATTGAGAGATAATATAGAGTATGTATAAGGAATACAGCAAATCAAAAGACAAATATGGACATTGGAAAATAGTGAAAAAACTAAAAACGTTTATGCAAAACAATGTTGCAAAGGGGAGGGCATGGTGTCTTGTCACTGCACATGAGTGTTTGCATGTGCCCGGCATAAACGCCACACACCCTGCTCGGCAGATATTTAAATAACCTAATGCCCGCATTTTGGTCCATGTGCTTGCCGTGATATGCCCAGATTCAAGGGGTTAACATCTGTGTCAATTTTGTATATATCCTTCAAGAACACTTGTGTGGAATCTAGAACTTTCTGTAGTGAATTTCTATCCTTTACCTTAGGAGTAAGTACGTAGGGAAACATACAAATTTATATACAAAATAAAACCAAATAACTAAATAATAAAAAATCCTAATAAATGAACACTTGGACTTAGCTGATGATAAAAACGATATTACATTCTTCCTTACCTGATGAAAAAGGTTGTATTCATCCTCACACACATGCACAAGGAATGCACAGCCACTTCGCACTAGTGAACAGTAATCCCGTTGATATTTCTGCGAAAGCTCAGTCACTGCATCGGCCACACAGGGGCCCATCAGTGTCTGACGCTGTGCAAAATAACACTGATGGCAGTCACTAAGAAGGTTCAGATACTCGGGACTATTTTCCACCCGGTCCTCTATCTCGGCCATGAGGGTCTTTATGCGTGGTGCATTAGTCCTGAACTTGCCGTAATAGAGCACAGCCGCATTGTCACTTGATGGCTTTTCAATGCCAGGTTTGGGTAGCACTTGCTGGGTAGCACTCTCTAGGGACTTGGTCACATACAGCTTCACCATGCCTAGTGCTCGACTTAGGCAGTGCTTGTACTTTGCTAGGTAGAGTGCAGACTCTTGGAATGTAGGGTTAGTATTCATGTAGCTGATGCATTCGTCAATCTTCGCCAGCAGGGGGATGAAACCATCACTCGTCACCTGGAATGCTGGCGAGCTCAACTTCTGGCTTATCCGGTCTACCTCCTTGAAGTAGGCTAGTTTGCTCTCAATGGTGTCAGCCTTGTTTGTGAGTCGAGTCTGTTCAGCTAATAGATGCTCACAGTCGGTGTGAAGTGCACTTGTCTTGTTTGATACACTGGTGTACTGTTGTAAGGAGAATAATGCAGTCTTTGTTTACTAATGTGCATCATTAGGAAAATTTCTGATTAATAACAATATGCAGATATCTATAACTACTTCTATATAAACATGAGCAGTAAAGAATTCTGTAATGAGCTAGTTTGTTAGTATTTCCTTTCATATCTGCCTCTTTCGTCAAAATCATACCAACCAATGTAATTTTGATGCTTACTTTTACACATACAACAAATGTGCAAAAGTCTTCAATATGAAAAAGGGTCCAAAAAAAATCACAGCCTTAAAAAACAAATCCAAAATACCTGTCCTGATAAATGTTGTAAGTTGTTGAGTGCTTCGTCAAGCTGAGCAAGGAGAGTCTGACACTCTGAGCGGTGGCTGACCAACTGACTGACATAGTCTCGATAAGGCCCATCTTGTTCCTCACACATCTCGGCTTCTACTCCAGCAAACCATGTTAAAAACTGTGGAAACAAACACATTAATCTTACATCATATGTATATAGATTGATGCAACTCTTTGATAACATTTAATTCATAATATAATGGCTTTTGGAATATCCACCTATTACTGTGATAAGTTGAAACAATAGTAATACTATTCAATAACTATTAAAAAAATGATACAAGACACTATGAAAAAATAGAACCTAATATCAACCTATCTAAATAGCAATAAATATCATTCATAATTTATAGAAATGATCATACAATTGAATATATTAACCTATAAAGAAAGGACAATATCTACTGCAATTGTGGCTGATAGGCAAAAACATATACAAGATTTCTCAAAACACTTTTAATACACACAAAAATGTAGTGTGTCTGCTGTTAGAATCTAGCTTGGGTGCTAAAATAGCCTACCATTGACATGAAAAACCTGTAATAATAATCTAATATTGCTATCCGACAGACATGCAAATATACATATAAAGGCAACGTATATACTACATTATATTTATGTATTTATGTCCAGAGAATTCCTTATTTTAGTCCCAATTAGTAGAGATGCATATTTTGCTTCCCCAAAAGACATATGGAAACAATCAAGGAAAAGGGAACCGAAAAAATCGAATACGAAATATCCGTAATCGTGGCAAACCGTCTCCCCCGAAACCATCTTCCCGATCCCAACCCCTGACAACGAATACCAATAATACCACAAATACCAACCTGCTGACTCGACTCTATCTTAACCTCTCCCAATTTGAGCCTCGCCAAGCTGTCCGAGAGGTGATGTTCCGACAGAGAATCCCTCTTGGAGCTGTCAAGAGGATATTCCGAGTCCCTCTTGGATCCACCCCCTTCCTCCCTCCCGCCATCGCTTCTCGTCTCTTCCGAGGTCAAACTTGGGGGTAAAGGTCGCCAGCCGGACACGGAGGTCAGCTCGATGATTGTGTCCCTCTCCTGTGAGGTCAGCGGCGCTAAGGGGGTCTTGTCGTCCTCCCAGATGGATAAATTCTCTCTTACCCGGCCTATGTTTACATCTGCCACGTCTTCCATTTTTGTTTTGACAGCGAGTCACGGAGTCCGGACGGAATTACAGGTCCGGTTAATATATAGTGGGATGATTGGCTTTATATCATTTGATTTGTAGCTCTATTAGTATTTCTATATTTTGAAATATATTTACGAATTTTTAAAGATCACCAGAGTGGATCCTTCAGAAATTTATTTACTTTTCTGAAAAATAGACCTGTAATGAAAATATTCCTATATATGAAAAAGTAACGCATTTTTCCAACATTGAAAAATAAAACGAACATAAATAACTCCAAGAAAGCCACAAAATTTATCTAAATTATATATATACCCCCTAAATCCAAAAAATTCTGCTTCAAGCCCGTCCAACCAATCAGAAACGAGTCTCCAACCTCTTGCGCATTCTGATTGGCCAGAGGAAAGTAACGTAAACAAACCCTTCGAGCTCCAAGAAGGCCTCGTGTTGTGGCACCGTAAACACGTGCGAGAGGAGAAGGGAGTGGATATTTATTATAGGAAATAATAAAAATAATTCAAAATGGTGGCCAAAAGTAAGTATTTGGTGATGTCTTTGGTTGTTTGAGTGAGCGATATTCGTGGTGGTTCGTGTAAGTAAGGGTTAGTTAAGCTTAGAAATAAGGATCGGGTTTTCTTTAGGGTTTGGGTGGTAAAAATTCCACATATTTTTGTGTACTTAACGTGTGATTATTATTATTATTATATTATTTTATTTGCTAAGACATGAGGAAAGTTGAGGATACTCACAAGGGCTTTCAAAATATTCCTTGTTTATTACATTGATAATCTGCATGGGACTCCCTTGACTTAATAATTATCTCCATGATTTTGGTTGTGTTCTGTCTAAATCAACTTCGAAAAAAAGGATGGAAAATTGACTATGAGATGTGCAGCATGATAGTGAAGTGATAATTGCGGCTTTTGCACTTGAGGCAAAACCAATAGACATATAGGTCTTGGTCAGGTTTATTATTTGAGGAATTGCCAGGGACGCTTATGCTGCGTTCGGAACTCCTCGTCTTGTTTGTCCAGACAAGTTGGACGAGATGTTTTGACCATTGCTCTACTTTCTCGTCTTGGACAAGTTGTCCATCTCATCCATCTCACCCTCTTCTCAGCAGGGCGTTAGGACAAGATGACGTCACAATAGCATTTGTATGTAAACTATGACAGTTGCAGGCAATCATGAGATATTGATAGTTAATTTATTGCCTTGTATAGATGTTAATAAGCATTATTATTATGTTTGTCAGTGGCATCAGTATGCATCAAAGGAGTTACAAAACCTATGCAGCATGTAAAACAAAGTCACCGGTTAGATGAATGAGTGAATGTTTACTCAAGCCGGTTGCATTCTGGTTAGATGAATGAGTGAATGTTTACTCTTGAACCAATTGCATTCTGCGCAGTGAAGGCCTTTGAGGTCTGAATGCAGCCTAGTTGTCCTGCTGGTCCTGACAGGTTGTTTAGATGAGCAAGACAAGGAGTTCCGAATTAAGCATTATAGGCTACAGCTTGCCATAGGGTATATAAAGCACGGTGACCTTGCTAGCTAATGCAGGGCCAGTGGTGCAAATGCGTGTTAATTAAACATCTGCATTTCAAGCTCTGGTTCTTAAGATATACTTGGTAGAGCTTTGTTTTTTCTCTCTCCTGCATAACCTTATTTTTATCAACTTGCGAAGATAATGCCATAGATGAAAGATGTCTAATTTTTAGTCATTCTGTCCATTACATGCAATATTTACCCTCTAATTGGTGGCATTGATAGCCTTGTGAAAGTAAAACTATACCAAGCTTTGTTAGTGTTGTTAGAATTCCATGTATGTTTGTGTTTATAACTAGTGATTGGTAATCATGGTGATAATGATAATTTGAAAAATGATAAGAATATGGAATAATTTTTGTTTATTATAGTATGATAAAGATGAAGAACATATTATTAATAAACTTGTGCAATCAACAGGGAGAAAGTCGAAGAAGGTGACCCTCAAGAAGAAATACATGATTGAGAAGAAGGTGCGAGCTCATAAGAAGAAGCAGAAGAAGCTGCAGAGGAAACAGCCGGAGCTCTTCAAAAGTAAGACTTGTCTCTTTCGTTCCTTCTTTTCTTTTTCTTTCTTTAATTCATGTCAAAAACAAGTTACTATATCAGAAATAAAACTGAGGATGGGATTGTATCTATATCTGTTGTCTATCTGT